CCCCAGTCGGCCGTTTTGACCCCCCCCCCCCCCCCAAGTGAAGTCCCTAAGAACTACCTGCAGTCGGTGGTCAACCAGCAATTATGTATCAAAGTGGAAAAATGATGTTAAGTTGTTAACATTTCTGAATTTGACCATCATCTGCATGCAGGCCCGTAACTAGCTACTGTATGAGTCAACCGAGTCCGTTGACCCGGTAGCAATTTGGGGACTGAAATTTAAACATCGCCAGAAACCTGAACCATAACTGAAATAATTTGCTCGTGGAACAAAGCATGAAATGGCATTTTAGGATGAAATCCTAGTTTAATTTTTCCAAGCAAAGATAGTCCAAAGGGACCACCCTATCTTGCTCTTCAGTGACACTGAGAAGACGAATGCGTCGATTTCAAGTGCCCTAATACACGTAGTACAGTGCTGTAGAATTTGAAGTGTGGTGAATGATAATACTATACCACGTACATTTTCATTACCACATCACACCATTCATTACATTTGGGAGACTGTGAAATTGCAATAATTGTGTCACTGTTTGTAAGGTTCTTTTTGAAAAACTTCTCAAAATAGCTTATCTGAGCTTCAAGAAATCAAAAATTTTCGAGGGCAGCCCCCAGATCCCTTTAGAGGCTCGCACCTTCGGTGGTCGACTCGGTTGTTTCAGAATCCTAGTTACGGCCTGATCTGCTGCTTTATGACGTATACTTATTACCGTAGTTAAACCATGCAGTGTATGCTGGTAGCTGCAGTCATGATACCGACTTGCCGACTGGAACTTCTTGAGGTCCCCCGCTAAATATGTCCCCTCCAGTTACACATCCTTAAAAGAGGCCCAGCTGATCTTAATTTTTTTCAACGGAATAAACTGGCACTTTCTAACTATGATTTGCAGTTATAAAATCTGAATCCATTGACATTTTGTGATAACACCTTAACATATGTTTCTTATATAATAGAAAAATTCAAGAGAGAGAGAGAGAAATTAATTGTGGTGGCGGCATCGTGACTTCAATTAATTAAACAAACTGATCCTTACAAGAACAGTTGACTTCAGAAAATTAAGCTAGGATGTGATAAAATACAAAGAAAAGATTAAAAATAACTATAAATAGCTTGGAATGATTTCATAAAGATCAAGAATGACATTATAACGGGGATTTTGTAGGCACATAAACAAAGTTGAATTTTTGTAGTGTCACAGGAACGCAACCAAAGAAAATTTGTCATGTAGGC